ATTCCATATCATTGAACTATGGCAGTGATCTCAAACTTAATTAATTCTACAGTGTAGATGAAACTCTGTTCCCAGCACTATCCATCTCTGTTGCTCACCCAGGGAAGAGAAAGCAGCCCTCACAACCCTAGACCATGTGGAAGTCAGAGTAGGGGGAAATGGCTTCTGTTTCATCCATTAGGATACAGTTCTACTTCTCCATCCATTAATTGGATGTGGAAATATGTGATACACTGTCTGCCATCAAGCAATTCAGAATATGGTCTTGTGCAATGAGTAGGGAAACATTGCATAGAAATATTTTAAATGGTTGCAAAATAAATTTGCAAGTGTCAAGGAGAATCAGAATCGTAGATAGGCAAGAATTTTCACAGTTTATTTATTTATTTACTTTATTTATGTTCCACCCTTCTCAACCCTGAAGGGAACTCAGAGCGGCCTTAGAATCGGCAACAAATCAATGCCATTAACAGACAAATAATAAAATAAACATATACATTAAAACAAAAATTTTTAGAAAGCAATATAAACATTAAAATGCATTATTAAAATTATGCAATCTGAAGACATAATTGAAAGCAGTTCCAGTTGTTATTGCACATAAATTCCACTTCACTTATTGGACTGCACTGTTGGCCAAAGGTTTGGTCCCACAACCATGTTTTCGCTTGCTTTCTGAAGGTCAAGAGGGAGGGGGCTGATCTGATTTTGCTGGGGAGGGAGTTCCATAGCTAAAGGACCACTTCTGAGAAGGCCTTGTATCTTGTCCCCACCAATCGCACTTGCAAACAAGGCAGGATTGAGAGCAGGGCCTCCAAAGATGATCTTAACCTTTGAGATGATTCATAGAGGGAGATGCATTTGGACAGATAAGCTAGATCAGAACCAGTTAGGTTTTTAAAGGCTGAAGCTAGCACTTTGAATTGTACATGATAGCAGATACGCAACCAGTGGAGCTGACATAATAGGGGAGTTGTATGCTCCCTGTACACTGCTCCATTGAGATATCTGGTTGTCACCCATTTGACTACTTGCAGCTTCTGAACAGCCTTCAAAGACAACTCCAAAAAGAGTGCACTGCAGTAGTCTATTTAGGGTGTAACAAGGGCATGGACACCTTGGCCAAGTCTGGCTTCTCAAGATACCAGGCAACTGATGCACAAGTTTTAATTGTGCAAAAGCTCCCTTGGCCACTGTCAAAACCTGGGGTGCTCGACTCCATGATGAACCCAAGCTGCGAACCTGTGTCTTCAGAGGAAGTGTAACCCCATCCAGCACAGGCTGTAACCCTGTACCCTTACAACTGACGAGGAGTACCTCTGTCTTGTCTGGATTCAATTTCAATTTGTTCGCCCTCATCCAGACCATCACAGCTGCCAAGCACCAGTCAGGACCTGAACAGCCTCCTTAGTAGCAGGTGGAAAGGAGTAGTAGAGTTGAACGTCATCTGCATACAGATGACATTGAACTCCAAAACTCTGAATATTTCTCCCAGTGGTTTCATGTAGATTTTAAACACCATGGGGCATAAAACTGAACCCTGTGGGACCCTACAAGACAAAAGCTGCAGGGCTGAGCAGGTGTCCCCCAACAACAGCTTCTGAGAACAATCCTCCAGGAATGACCACAGTCACTGCAAAACAGTGCCTCCAAGCCCCACTCCTGCAGGGTATCCCAGAAAGATACTGTGGTCTACAGTATTGAAGTCTACTGAGAGGTCCAAGAGAACCAACAGAGACACACTCCCCCTGACTAGTTCTCTGTGTAGTTCAGGGGTCCTCAAACTTTTTAAACAGAGGGCCAGGTCACAGTCCCTCAAACTGTTGGAGGGCTGGGGATTATAATGTGAAAACAACATGAATGAATTCACTGCACATATCTTAATTGTTGTGCAAAAAACACTTTAAAACATACGTTAACAAATATAAACTTATTAGTATTTCAGTGGAAAATGTAGGCCTGATTTTGGCTGATGAGATCGGATTATTTGTTGCAGTTGTTGTATGCTTTCAAGTCATTTCAGACTTAGGTTGACCTTGAGCGAGGACTGGGTAAATGACCTTGGAGGGCTGTTTCCAGCCCCTGGGCCTTAGTTTGAGGACCCCTGGCGTAGATCATTCACTAAGGCGACCAAGGCTGTTTCAGTTTGGGTTTTATACTGTGTGGAAAATACATTGTCTGTATGAAAAAGGCACCTTCTGTACAAAAGAAAAAAGAAAAATAGTTTCCTGGGCACAAAAATACCCTTTTCACAAAATAAATCCCAAATGACAGGTTGTATTCAAAAGCAGACATTTGTGATAACTTTCTCAAGATGATGTGAGAAATGGTAAAATTGTTCAATTTTGCTTGCTAAGCAGAACCACAATAAATATATGCTAGAAATGGATATAAACACACGAAAAGCAAAATTCATTTACTAGTGCTGAATATGAGCAAACATTAATTCATTGATTCATATAAAAACAGTATGAAAGAAAGCATGTAGCAAACGGAATCTTGGAAGTGACACTACTTTTTTTTAAAAAAAAATCAGAAGCCTGCAAGGATTCAGAAATGACTCCAAATTATGCTATATTTCCAGATCTTACAGTAATCTTGGAATTTAATGAACCTTTTAGCGCTAACTATACCACTTATGTCTAAGTGTTATGCAAAGAGATCAAAATATTTAAACAAACAAGGCTCTTACCTGGAAATTATCACCTATTTTGAATATTTTAAAAATTGAAGCTGTGAAGTGTGGGATTTGGCACCAGTTTATGAATACCAAAAAATAACATTGCTGAACAATTATGCAGCCCTCAACATGAAAACAAATTAGAATTAATGCTGACAAAACTTTGCGCATGAATATAACTGATGCAAAGAGAAAAGGAAGTTGCTAAATTTTTTGACAAAATCAACGTTGTTTGTAATATCTCCCCTTCATTCGCTGATATTTATTTACTGCATTTATTTTTAATTTTTTACACAATCTATTATCTTGAATAGATGTTCTCATGACAGCTTTCAACAATCATCAGTTATTTTCTCATAGTTGCTGTTCATTGGTATGAGGTCTTATCCAAAAGGGCAAACTAAATGAACTTAAGGTTTTCATGGACTTTGGATTCATCTAAATTAACTTTTGGAGAATCTCTAACCCAGTGACTCAAGTTCAGATAAGGGGAATATTTGACTTTCAGTGAAACATGATTGGACGACATAATCTGTGACTGTTGGTGATGCCAGCTGGAGCTGATGGGAGTCAAAATTCATGAACATTTAAAGGACCAAGCATTTTCCATCTTCTTTGTAAATTTTCTTGCTCAGGCTCATCCCTAAGTTTGTTGAATGGCTCTCTATTGCTACCTTTGTGACTGTGCCAGGAAGCTTCTTCTTCCACTCTGTAGTAAGGAATCTACTAGTGCAATCTGTGTGGAGAACTATAGAAATAGCTTGAGGGGGTTGCAGCTGGAAGAGAGTCAGAAAAGATCAGGGAGGAATCAGACAGAGACAGACAAGGTGCAACGTCCATAAAAAATGAATGTGAAGAGTGGGTGGAAGACTTTAGCGTGCTCATGCAGAAGCAAGATAAGCTTGAAGGGTGTGTGTGTGTGTGTGTGTGTGTGTGCCTTCAGCTAACCTGCTGACCTCTAGAGACCTCACATATTTAATATGGGTTTCTTAGGCAAGGAATACTCAAGAGGTGGTATTGTCGATTCCTTCCTCTGAAATATAGCCTAAAACACCTGCAGTATCTTAAAGGAAACTAAAACCCTAAACAAATGTAAACCTTTGACGTTCTCACCACTTGGAGATTAGACAGTGAGCTCTGGACACAGAATGAGATCTCTGCAAAGGATTCATGTATCAGACTATGTCCAGATGATGCCACTCTGTCATGTTTTTACTTATATATCTATTCAATTATTGCAGTAAAACACCTGCACTGAAATACATCTAAATATAAATTGAAATATAGATTGTTTCATTATAGTCCTCCTCCAGACACACATTTAATATAATATTTGAATGGATAACGGCACTGCAAGAATTACAAAAATGAGAAAATGTCTTTATTCTGAAATGCACATCGATCTGGGAGGAGGAGATTAGATCGGTTTGCATCTGAATTCACAGATATTGATGCTTCAAGCATTGGAAATCATCAGATATATTTTGCTGTGACCTTATGCATCCCTCCCTACTACCTGCCTTTGGTTTTAGTGAAAATGTCAACACCACCTGGCAGAAGGAACCTTTCCTTCTGAGAATAGAACAAATAATTTAATCAGTTTCCTCCACATTGTCGAATGTCTTCAAAAATAGGGTATGGAACAGATTATGATTTCCACGACATCACTTTCTGAAACACACTCTCACCTAAATTCCATCCCTAAAAGGCACTAATTTTAAAAAGCATCATGTCCCATGGTTCTCAAAACTAATAAGAGGTCAATCAACAAAAATGCACCTTTTCTGACCAGATCCTACGAAAAACCAATCATGAAGGCAACTAAGATAGTCTTAGACCAAAAGTCTCACCAGAAGCTTGAAAATACCTCACAGGCACTTTTCTTCAGTGAAGTTATCTTACTCTGCATATCTTAAACATCAAAAGTATCTAAGTATTTTATGACTATTTATTAACATTTAAAACGTTCATGTTCAGCTTCAGCTTCCCTTAGTTTTGATCTGCCAAGGAGTTCTTTCCAGATTGTATAAAGGATAAGAAATAAAAAGGACTCATTTGAATAAGCCTAATGTGTTTTTCCTTCAAAATTTGGATTTTTCTTTTGTGGCTCTAATGTAGTAAGATTTTCTTTGATAGCAAAATAGTTTTTTTTTCCCTGGAACACTTCACGTCTCAGCTATCCCATTGCAAGAAATAATCTCTATTCAAAAGAGCAAGGTTGCCCTTTCTCTTCATAGCACTTGAAGAGTGAGAGGCACTGGCAAACACATAAGATATCAGACAAAACATATTTTGAATTGTTATTATAGTCATGACTTACCATATTAATTGGATCGACTGGACCAATGCTGTTAACATAGACATCCGTTTCAATTACGGTAGTTCTCACTAAACAAAATAGTAACAATAATTACATGTGAAATTCTGTGCTTCTTATAGAATCTAGTATATATTATTGAATCAATGAAAACTACTGGCATAGGTGATTTATCCCTTTCTATCAACACAGAATTGTGTAAGAATACTTGTATACATGCAGTGGGATCTTTGTGGGCACTCAATGCACTGCAACATGCTTGGCTGTATTCAGTCCTTCAAGTCCTTCTATTCCTCATATACTCACATCTCATAACCCATTAATTCCCAAGTCCATAGGAGAGAAGACGTATTACAAAAGGAGCCAACAGGACAGAAGGTCTAACCAATCAGTTGGAAAAAGAATAAGATAGGAGGTGATAATAAAAGCAGTTTCATAAAGATCTGTAGTCAGTAAGATCTGTCAAATGTGTTATATTACAAACCACATCATCCTCAAACACTTCAGTCTTTGGAGCTAATGGGATCTGAAGTCTAAGACATAGAGCATGCCACAGTGCCTACCAGAAAGCAGACAGTTTGAACAAATGAGTCATGAGGTTTAGCACAGCTGGTAAATCATCAACAACTATAAGATGTATCAACCCAAAGGTTGCAAGTTCAAAGCCCTGGCTCAGTGTGAGTGGCTGACAGTCAGCCCTGCTCACTCTTTACCTAAGCAGTTTGAAAACAGAAAATTAGAAAAAAAAATTAGAGAAATTAGGTACCACTAAAAGCGGGAAAAGTGTTTTACAACCCTATAAAGAAAAAGAAGATTAGAAAATGCTGGATTGAGGACGTCTTGATGGCTCTTCATCATAGAGGATGGAGCGACAGCACCCCCTGTGGATTCAAGCCAAGCCATCCATGGCATCAAAACAACACCTCCTTCTGTGCTGTCTGTCTGTGTACCGTCTATATAAATGGCATTGACTGTTTGTTGTGTGTGTGTACTTGTGATCCTCCCTGAGTCCCCTTCGGGGTGAGAAGGGCGGAATATAAATAAAGTGTTGTTGTTGTTGTTGTTGTTGTTGTTGTTGTTGTTGTTGTTAGCAGGCAGCTTCATCTGCACACCAATATGCAATAGTTTTGACATTTCCGAATCTGGGATATATAGTAGCCAAGGCTTCAGGTTGCCATAAGTGGGGCATGAATTGGATCACACATACTATATGAGGGAGGCACATTTGCTGACCTGAAGCTAGTACAGGAACTGCATCTCAGCTGAAATTTTGGAGAAGAAGGTGGGGGGCTCCCTACAGGCCACTCAAGACTGCAAGATCACTTGTGATTATTACTGGAATGTACACTTCTTATCATAAACTGGCAGGACATGGTTTATGCTATATACTTGTAATTTGGGAAGAAGAAATGTTCACAGCACAAATATTTTGTTTGGGATTGTACACCTCATCTAAAACAGATGCAGCTGTTATTTAGTTCACATAAATAGCTTTTTTATTGAAAGAAATCAAATTAAAACATAGATTAAAGGAAGTTTTCTAAAAAAATTACCAAACTACTTTAAAACTAAGGGAGATATGGGAAACAGATGACAAAAAGCCACAGCGTACTCTGTGATTAATGCACAGAAGTTACAATAGAGAAATCAAAGTGTGCTACTAATTATGCAGCCTGTGAATTAATGTACTGAAACACAAACCCAACTTTTTTCCTTCAGTTCTCTCAAAACTCAGCTGGAGAAAGCCATTAGCTTTTCCAGCCCTTAGATCAAAGCACACATCAGATTTATTAATATCTCTTCAGCTAGATTCTTGATCAATACCCGACACAGGGCACAAAATCAATTATTTATATAAAGGAAAAGTGACACAAAACCTGGCAGATAATCCTGGAAAAACCCTCTGAATATGTCTTCATTTTGCCTTGACTGCACTCTCCCAACAGATTAATCTAGACCATAATCCCTCCCTCCCAAATTTTACTTTCTTTTCAGAGTTATATGGGGCAACATATAAGTTTGAAAAGGCAACACACATTATCTGACTGTAAAACAGATTCCAATAAAATAGAATAAAAATAATCAACTGATAGCAATAGCAGGAAAACAATACCACTCTTACATAATGCAAACAATAGCTAACTTTCAGAGGATTCCAATCAGTCGTTGATAAAAGAAGTGTCATTTATTTCTTCTGCTTTTAGAAAAAAATCTGATGTACTTGTTCTTTTAAGATCCAACATGAACAGATTTATAAAATAAACATATAACAAGAACTCCCTCCCTTGTGAAAAGCTAACCTGTTCATGAGTGCAGACACCCACCAGCTAAAAGGTGGACTCTCGCAGAACAAGAAGGGATACTCTCATTCTCATTGCATCTTCCAAGATGCCAATGTAATTGACTCCTGAGGACATGTAAACACCCGGAAGACAATTTTAGGTCAGTATAAAGGGCTATGGCAGGAGTGCATAGTGGATTCAGCCCTCTTATTTTTGCTAAAAGGGTGAATAGGACTACTGCTCTGGAAATAACTATGTTAAGAAGATGAAGAAAATACAAACAGTTTGCCAAAGGGGAAACAAAGAAACAATGAAAGGGCAGAACAGAAAAATAAATTATGTTCTGACATAAGTATTTCTTTCAACCAGCTAGAAACACATTAGTGATGCAGTCAATAGGCCTTCTTCAGGAAGGTATTCCCTAAGAGAGATTCCATGAACCACAGGATCCTTTTTAATATACCCACCATCCATGTTTTGGATGGTTGCAAGGCACAGAAATATCATTCAGACTTTTATGCTGTTGGGGGCATTGATTGCTAACTGTGAACTGTCTTGAGTCGTCTTCGGGCTGAGAAAGGCGGTATATAAATATGATAAATAAATAAATAAATAAATAAATAAACAGGTAACAATAATATTGATGTATACAGAAATATCACTCAATAGTTTATTTATTTATTATTTATTTCGAGCATTTCTACCCCACCCTTCTCAACCCCCTAGGGGGGACTCAGGGTGGCTTACAACCGGCACATATTCTATGCCTACAATTCAACATAGTAAAATATATAACAACAATAATTATAAATAATTAAAATATTCAATTAATACAATAACAACTAATAGAAAAAGAAAAGCCAGTCTGGTGGAAGGAAGTAAGGAGCACTGGGTTTGGCCAGATACAGATGATGCCAACTGAATCGGTTATACCAGGGTTTCCCAAACATTTTTAGCCATGGAGCCCTTTTTGAAGCAAATGTTTCCCATAGAGTCCCAAGAAATGTTTAGTGTTTCGTTCTAACTGTCTATATAACATATGTATACGGAAGTATGAATAATAATATATATATTAATACAGGAAACAATAGTAAAAAAAGAACTGGAGACAATATTATTCATTATTTAGATTTATAAAGTTATATAACAACTAGTTAAGATATTTGAAAAATGTTACTGTGTTACATGTACATTAAAAGCTAATGTGAACATTGTAATGTGCCTGCTTCTTTTGGCAGAATTGGTCAATGTCTGGAGTCTCAAAAGTCAACTGGAAGCACTTATTGTTTTCTACATCCAAACGAGCTCAATATTTCATTTTTGTAGCTGTGTACCTTGAAAATGCCATTTCACAGAGATACATAAAACCAAAAGACAGTAAGACAGGTGTGCCCCCCCCCAACTCGAACTCATTGCCTAGTGAGATTAGGAAGGCCCCACCTTAGAAAATTTCAAGAGGAATCTCAAAACCTGGATTTTCTGATGCATTTTTGGAGAGTATCCATATTATCATACACAGTTGCTCCCCCTCAACGGGTTTTGTCCCCAGAGTATATTTCCCACCTGTATGAAGGTCTATATTTATGACCCCATTCCTTTATGGGTTTCTCCCCCACAAACAATCTGCTCCATCCCTATCTCATCCTGATTTTAGTATTTTTAGTATCTTAGTTTTTATCTTGCACATGCGGCCTACTCATTGTTATGTTATTTTATTTTACTGGGTATGATTTTGCTTTATCGTCTTTGTACTCATATGTTGTATGTATTTTACTGTGTTGTTATTGTGTTTTGGTTTTACTTTATTGTCATATGCTGTTGGGCTTCATGTAAGCCGCCCCGAGTCCCCATTGGGGAGATGCTGGCAGGCATAAATAAAGTTTATGGGCAAACCCAGGCCCAGGGACCAATGCAGCCCCTTGGGCTCTTTTCTCAGGCCATCCTCTCTCTCACCACCCTATCCTTCCTTCCTTCTCTCTTTCCTTCCTCCTCCCCTCCCTCCCTTCCCTCTCTCTCTCCTTCCCTCCCCCCCAGCAAGCGCCAGGTCATAACTAACCAAGTATGTGCTTTCAGTACTTTCTCAATATTTGTCTTTGCATGACATACAAATGTTGTCTGAACTGCATGGAGTTTGTCACTTTTTCTTTTGAAAAAGTCTGCAGAATTATTTGTGAAGCAAGGATGAGTTTTTAAATGCCTTATAAGCTTGGCAGGGTATGTAGAGCTACTGGGCTAAACTTTGTTACATATCACAAACTGTGGACATCCAACAGCAAACTCAGTGAATCTCATGTCCAAACATGGATAGCAATGTTTCCATTTTTTACTTCCTTTTGGTACCTTTTCACTAGGCATCGTAGACTCTGAGGCAGAGTTATGCGCAGCATTTTCTGAACTCAAATCCAAGGAATTTGCACTATCTTCCTTGAAAGTAAACTTATAGCCATTCTTATCCCCCTTTGACTGAGCAGTGGCTTACAACTCACAAGTCTTAAACAGCCCCAGTTCCATTTCAGTGAAAGTTTAGCAGCTAACAATTGGAGGAGGAGGCAGTAGTGGCAGCAGGAGCAAAAATCTCGGGGCAGTGGTTTCTTTCAAGATTGTTTTCGGTTTGGCTTTATGGTCAGAGCAGGAGGGGAAAAGGCTGCTGGAAGAACCAACAGGCATGCCCTTTCCAGTGACAAAAAGCACCTTTTAAAAAGGGATGGAATGATCTTATTAAAAATTAAAATACAACCAGCCACCAAATCTGATAGCCAACAAAACAAAAACAATGTGGGGGGGGGGGG